CATCTAGTCTAAAATCTTTCTTTCTTTGAGAAACCTTTTGGCACCTCTCCCTCCCAGACAGAATAAATGGCTTGGTTTTCCATTCTCCGGGCAAGTGCCTGCATTTACTGTCAGGGGAAGCTTTGGTCACGTTTGGTGAGGGCTGATTAATTCCCTACTTCTAACCCCCTTCTAGATCATTCTTGAGGGCATAGGCTCTTTGGTACCACCCTCAGATCCCTCAGCGGTCTCCCCTGGTGCCTGCCAGGTCTTGAATCGATGCTGGCTGACTGGATGGAGACGCATGTGGACACACTTCTGTTCTGAAAAGCAAAGCTCTCATGTTCTCAGATGGGGCAGGCTCCTTCCTGCACTTCTGGTCGTCGCGACATCAGTATTTATGAGGCCCTCCGTCCTGGGTTAGAACTTGCACCTGACTGATATCTAGAATGACTTTTGATTAGGACTGGCGTGTTTCCTCACTGACTCCTGCCAGGGTCATGACGAGGCAGCCTCCACCCATGCTGTCTGGGATGACACATTGGCCTCTGCTGTCATCGGCCTTCCTGTAGTAACTGCCCCACAGAGAGAGAAGCTGTCTGCGGCCTCACTTCCACGTGGGACCTTGCCAACTAGCCCTTTTTCTACAAGGACATCAGAACAGCAAATTTCAGGAAATGAGAAAAGCAGGCAGAGATTTCTAAAAAAAAAAAAAATAATAATAAATCGTGAAGGGGCGCCTGGGTGGCTCAGTGGGTTAAAGCCTCTGCCTTCGGCTCAGGTCATGGTCCCAGGGTCCTGGGATCGAGACCCCCACTTCGGGCTCTCTGCTCAGCAGGGAGCCTGCTTCCTCCTCTCTCTCTGCCTGCCTCTCTGCCTACTTGTGATCTCTGTCTGTTAAATAAATAAATAAAATCTTTAAAAAAAATAATAAATTGTGAAATCTGTATTTTTTTGAATAAGTAACATATTCACGTGGTGCCAAACTCATCAAGGTACAGAAAGTTCTCTGCGGTGGTTTCCCAGCCCGCTCTGCTGGCCGGCGGTGCTCCTCCCTGGAAGAAACCATATCCCCTACACGACCACGTATCTGGATGGCTCTGTGGTCCTCGATCTTTACTTTTTCTGGATGTTTCTCTCATTCCTCCATAACGATGTTCTTCTCATTCTGGCAAACGGTATGGATCAGCTGACAGAGTGTCTGTGCTGCAGGAATATTTGATGAGTTGGGGCGTATCACATCTCTATTGGATTATGAATTAGATGCATTTTCATTCACTTACGTTCTTGCTCTTCTAAGAGAAGCCAAGAAGCGCTGCTTGTCGCATCGGCCTCACCCGTGCGGTCTTCCGTGCATGAACCATGGCTTCCATCTGTCCTGCTGCCAGCTCAGGATGGTTTAGAGCTCACTCACACATTTTTCAAGGGACGGTTGTGCAAGAAATGTCGATATTTTCCAACACTTTCTTGGCCTCTTCAACAGTTTCTTCTTTTGGCTTCTGCTAGAAGAAAATCCTCCTCCCTGCCTCACCCCTGTCCTCAGCCCTAACAGCACACACACACCCACATGTGCTCTGGGGCCTCTGGGCTCCTCTCTTCCCAGAACCTCCGGCGATGAGGAAAGGACGGAAAGGAAGAAGCTGGCTTCAGTGGACGGATGCCTGTAGGTGTGGAGTTGGCAGAGTCCCTTTCATTCCCTCTTCCCCTCCCCTGACAGTGTGGAGGGTCCGCTTGCTTCTCCTCTGTGTCCACCGCTGGGCGGCAGGTCTTCCTCGTGCACGCCCGGGCCCCGACTGCTGGGAGCCCAGGGGCCTTGGACCAGCTTCCCTCTGGTTTCCTCCTGCCTCTAGATGCTCAGCCGGGCGGTCAGTCAAGTGGCAGCCCCCGCCGTCCTCCGGGGCCTGGCGGCCAGTGATGAAGTAGCCAGGTCTTCAGCTGACTCCATCCTTGTTTGTCAGAACTCTGCTGCAAGTTATTTTGGTCTCTGTGACTTGTGGCTGCACCGTGATTAGGGTTTGATTACTATCACCAAAGTGACTAAAAGATGAAAATAGAAGCCACAACAGGAAATAAACAACTGCAAATGAGAGATTTTATTCCATATTCCCTGCCAGCAAGTGATTAGAATCAAACTCATTCACAATAGTTTGGTGAACTCCTAAACTTTTTTTCTTTCTTGTTTTTTTTTTCCCCCCTAAGGATCAGAATAGTTTGAAACGGGGTGCTTGTCGGTCTCATTTGCTCCAGTGGAAAGGAAAGGAAAGGAACTCCCTTTCTAGACACACCAGCCGGCCAGGAGGTCCTCCATGGCCAGGCTTCTTTCTTGGAAAGGAAAGGAACAAGAATGCTGCGGGGTGGAGCTGGTTCTCAGGAAGGCTTGGGGATGTCGACTGATTCAGGGGATGCCCGGGAGCCATAAAGCAGGACCAATCATTCACTGTAGCTAACTTGTCCTTCATCCCACCCGTCATCTACCTGGGGTAGTAAAATGGACGAAAGCCGTGTACAGAGGGTAAGGCAGAGGCGACGCCTGAATTCAAACACCCACAATTACACTATATGGGAACATAGCTCTGCAAGTATATGCATGTTCTACTCAGACAAGCCGTGACGTCAGATTCAGCTCCTGAAACACCCACTAAGCCTACCTGCCCTGTGTGTGTGCTCTGGCCTCTCCTCACGGAGTATTGGCACCACTGGCCAGATTTCTCAGACTCTGCACGTTCTCCACTTAGCGGAGATGGTTCATTAGAATTATGACATTTGATTTCTCTGTTTACTTATGTCTTCTTGTCGCTTTGCAGCCTTGCCTAGCCTCTCTTGAAAAGCAAAGATCTTCCAGCGAGGCCCAGAGCGGAGAGAAGGAATGGGACCCTGAGAGGGCAGGAAACTTGCCAGAAAGCTTTTTAATCCCTGCCAAGTGTAAGTGGAATGTGAGGATCCCCACTGGTGCAAGTTATTGCACAAGGAGGGCAGAGCCCCAGCCTGGAACCAGGTTTTCTGACTTCCAGTCTGGGATTCTTAAGAAGCCTTTCTAAGATGAGTTATATTATACATTTCCCAGAAATCTGGTTACTGTCTCTTTTGTCTTTCCCACCTGTGATGATGGGATCACCCAGAGCCAAACCTCCCCTCCGACCATTTCCTTCTGGGCTTTCTTGGCTGCTGTCTTTGCAAGGTACTTCTTTACAAAGTCACCCCCCACCCCCACAGTCTCAGTGCCATTTTCAATAGGCAACATTTTTATTTACAATAAAATTATGATCTTATACAACTGCAGCTATGTGGCTGCAAAAGTAAATGTTTAGAATGCCAGCTTCTGCCCTCTCCTGCATACATTTCTGCGACCGTGAATAAGCTTCAGGACTCCCTTCCCTGGAGATGATCGTGTAATCAATGTTGCTGATTTTCTCTCACATTTTTACCTCCAAAGGTGCTTTTGTTAGATTTGGGGGGAGTGATCCAAATGCCCCTTTGTGTTGTCCTGAATTGATTCCTAAATGTTTACTAAGGATGTATGGTAAATCATGGGCCTCTGAAGTTGCTGGACGGGAAGGGGCTGTAAAGCTAAGATTTATCTATCCCTTTTCCTTCTAAGAACGTATAATTTAGCTGGGATAATGAAAATAGTACGTTTTACCTTTTACAAAGATTCGTCGTTCATCTCATCCCCATGAGTTTTATTATTGTACTGATAGTACAATTGTAAATGACTTTAAAAATTTTTATTTCACTGAATAATTTGTGAGGTTAGATCACCATGCCAACTAGTGGCCTCGTCAATAGTGATGTGTATATATTTAAATCATTTCGCTTCTCAGTACCATCAGCTTTCACGAAATAAACGCATTTTGGTCCTGTGCGTTCCGAGGCCTTACCCATTTCCTTGCAGTAACCTGCCAGCTGGGTCTGTGCTTCTCCCGAACGTGGGGTCAGGCGATAAACTCTATGACCCTAAGCACCTTGAAAGCTTCGGGGCCGAGAAGGGCTCAGAAACAGGCCCTGCATGCATATGCATGCCCCAGGCAGGTCGGCTAGGAAAGGTAACCTTCCCGCGCCGGGAGGCGGGGTGCCGGAGGTCTTCCGGGCTCCGGAGGAAACCTGCGGGCGGCGGACTGAAGAGCGCCCCCCCCGCCCCCGCCCCTTCTCCCGCCTGGATGCTGCCCCTCGCAGCCCGTCAGCCTGCCAAATGCATTCCAGAGCTGTGCACAAGACACACTTCTCCAGGCAGTCCTAGAAACCCGAGCCCGGAGCGGGAGAGGGCGGGAGGGAGCGCGCGGCCGCCGCTGAGGTCACATTCGCGCCGCCTCCCCGCCCTCGGCGGCCCGGCTGTTCCCTCCAGCGCACACTTCCCAGGGCCTGGGTCCAGTCCGGTGTAAATGTCTTCTAAACGGAGACAGCGCTCTCCTCCCCCTTCCCTCCCGCGCGGCCAGGGGATCCGCCGCCAGGGCCTTTAAAACAAAACGAATGAATGAAGCGCTAGGGCGAGCGCGCGCGGGACAGCCACCGCTAAGCTTCCCGGGCTGGGTCTAAATCGAGCCACCGACCGGTTCGTTCCGCTCCAAAACCTGCCAGCGAAGCCCGCTCGGTGCTATCGGGTCTTCCCATTTCTCGTCTGATCCTGCCAGGGCTAATCGATTCTGGGAGCTGCAAGGCTCCCCACCTTTACCCAGCCCCCTCACCATGGTCCCCCTTCTGCAGACCCGGGATGGGGTGGCGGTGGCGGGGGGGGGGGGGGGGGAGAAATAGCTTTTAGAAACCCGATCTGTTGTTTGCGAAACACAATCGCTTTTTTTTTTTTTTTTAAAGCGACAGGGTGTCTAGACGGCCACGTGACGAGGCCGGAGCCGGGCGCGCCACTGCGCAGTGGAACCAGCAGAGCAGAGGGCCCGAGTGGGGGGGGAGCGGGGGGCGGGGAGGAGGCGGTGGCGGCGGCGGCTGGGGGCGGGGGAGCGAAGGGGGAGGGAAGGGGGCGGGGGCGGGAGGCCTTGCGGGAGGCGGCGAGCCGCGGGCACACTCGCTCCCTCGTTCGGCGCACAGAGCACCCTGTCCCCGAGCTGCGCCAGCCGAGCCAGCTGGGCGCCGTGCTCGGTCCGCTCGCCGCGCGGGAGAGAGCTGCCCGAGACAGAGCCAGCCCGCCGGCGCCTAGCTGCCGAGCGTCCGGCCCCGGAGACCCTGAGTGGGGCGCGGCGAGCCCCCGGCGGCGGCAGAAGGACCCGAGCGCCAGGAGAGGGCGGACGGGGGACAAGGAGGCTCCCGGGCGCGACGAGGAGAGTCTCGGTGGAGGAGGCGGCGTGAGGACACCCGGGCCTCCTTGCCGCCGCAGCCGGGTCGGGGCGAGCAGCTCCTGCGGGGAGTCCCGGCGGCCAGGCGCGGCTAGGGGAGGGGGCGCCGGCGGCCCCCGCGTCAGTGAACAGCTTGCGCCCAGGAGGGCGAGAGCGCGCGACCCGCCAGGGGCCCGCCGCCGCCGCCGCGCCGCCCTCCCCCGCGCTGTCAGCCCCGCCGGGCGCAGCCGCCGCCGCCGCAGCAGCAGCATCTTCTGCCCCTGCGCCCCCGCCAGCCCCGAGGAAGTCCCCGCCGAGACCGGGGCCCCCGGGAGCGCAGGAGGAAAGACCAGACTCCCCTGAAACACCCAGATGCCGCGGATTGAAGCAGCCTAGCCAGAGCTTTCTGTGGATTAAAAAAATATACGATTTTCTTTTTTTCTTGGCAGAAGAAAAGGAGAGGAAGACCAGCGGGGCTCTGTAAGGAAAAAAGGGGGATGTAACTCGTGGATACGTTTTTTTCCACCCCTCAAACGTCTTGTTCTACTTTGTAAACATTTCTTTTTTTAAACCTTAGCTCCAGCCGGACGCCCCCAGACCTCCGGGGGTGCGAGGAGGTGGTGTTTTTCATTTTGGGCTTTGCCTATTTGGTTCTTAGATTTTTGAGAGCCTTCCTATTTCGCCAGACATCTCATGCGGGGTGAAGTCCACTCGGTCCCCTCCCCCGAGTCTTCGTGTGCACGGAATTCGAGGAGATCCGGTTACTAAGGATATAGAGGAAAAAAATAAATCGCGTGCCTGCTTTTTTTTTTTTTTAATTGCCTGTTCTCCCCCCCCCCAAATTAAGTTGCTTAGCAAGGGGGAAAGAGGCTTTTTCTTCCCTCCAGGAGCCCAGCCGAACGTCTTTCGTTTTTTGCCCCCGCGGATCTTCCATGTAGGAAGCCGAGGCTGGCGAGCCCGACTCTCGGGAGCCGCTGCGGGGGGGCCTCTTTTTTGGGAGGCGCCGACCGGGGTAGGCTTCGCCGCCCCCAGGGAAGCGGCGGCCGCGTTCCTCCGGGGTGCTCCGGGGCCGGAGAGCCGCGCACCGCGCGGGCCGCGCGGGGTGGGGCAGCCAGAGCGCAGGCCCCCGAGCCCCGGCGGGCGCCCCCGGGCCCCCGCGCGCGCCCCGGCCTCCGGGAGACTGGCGCATGCCACGGAGCGCCCCTCGGGCCGCCGCCGCTCCTGCCCGGGCCCCTGCTGCTGCTGCTATCGCCTTCGCCTGCTGCCCCAACTCGGCGCCCGACTTCTTCATGGTGTGCGGAGGTCATGTTCGCTCCTTAGCCGGCAAACGACTTTTCTCCTCGCCTCCTCGCCCCGCATGTTCAGGACCAAACGATCTGCGCTCGTCCGGCGTCTCTGGAGGAGCCGTGCGCCCGGCGGCGAGGACGAGGAGGAGGGCGCGGGGGGGAGGCGGAGGAGGAGGCGACCTGCGGGGAGAAGGGGCGACGGACGGCCGGGCACATGGGGCCGGTGGCGGCGGCGCGGGCAGGGCTGGCTGCTGCCTGGGCAAGGCGGTCCGAGGTGCCAAAGGTCACCACCATCCCCACCCCCCAGCCACGGGCGCCGGCGCGGCCGGGGGCTCCGAGGCGGATCTGAAGGCGCTCACGCACTCGGTGCTCAAGAAACTGAAGGAACGGCAGTTGGAGCTGCTGCTCCAGGCCGTGGAGTCCCGCGGCGGTACGCGCACCGCGTGCCTCCTGCTGCCCGGCCGCCTGGACTGCAGGCTGGGCCTGGGGGCGCCCGCCGGCTCGCAGCCCGCGCAGCCGCCCTCGTCCTACTCGCTCCCCCTCCTGCTGTGCAAAGTGTTCAGGTGGCCGGATCTCAGGCATTCCTCGGAAGTCAAGAGGCTGTGTTGCTGTGAATCTTACGGGAAGATCAACCCCGAGCTGGTGTGCTGCAACCCCCATCACCTTAGCCGACTCTGCGAACTAGGTAAGAAGTTGATCTGCGCGCACCCCCTCCCTTCCCTTCCGCTGGCGCTCAAGTGGAAGAACCCCCTAACCCCCTCAGGGCCTGTCTGTGTGTGTGTGTGAGTGCGCGCGCGCAGCCACCTGGATGGCGGGGGGTGTACATTCTCTTCTGGGAAGATTTTGGGGACAAAAGTAGAGACAGGACACGGGGAAACTGCAAGGGCATTCCCTGGGGGTTCCCTTCCAGGTTCTTCTCCTCTGCTGCCCCTAGGTGGGTTGTGGGCATTGCCCAGGCACGCGGTTAAAAATGAGTTGTCTTCATTTCCACATCAGCTGGGGGGGTGCAGAGAGAAGTGGGGGTCACGCCTTCCATGCACCCGGAAAAGCGTTGAGGTGTGTGGCCGAGTTGGATTCTGTCCAAGCCCGCCAAGGAAGGTTGGGAGAAGCGAGTTGTAGAGGCTGGAAGTCTCTGTGCCTTTAGTAAACAAGGAGAGTCACGTTGGGATCCTCCCTGGCTGCGCAGCCCTGGGGTCTTGGGGCAGAGCGGGTTAGGATGGGAGGCCCAGCTGGGTTTCTCATTCTCAAGTCCGCCAGCCAGAATGGAAAAGAGCCAGTGGTCAGAAGTTGGGTATCCCCAGCTTTTTCTTTTCTTCCAGTACAGTAAAGCAGAGAATTGACTGTAGGGTGGTCTGTCCCCTGCTTCTCTGAGCCTCGGCCTCCCTTCTGAGACCCCAACCTCCTTCAGCCTTTTCCACCGCTTCCGGTTTCTCTACGTCTCTGTGCGTGGCTGGGGATGTGCCTCGGGCTCCCGCAGATCCTCCCAAGTTCGCCAGCGCACTTGGGGCGCGTCTCCCGGGTGGGCTGGGAAAGGGGATCCCCGAGTTTTCTGCGCGCGTGTGCGGCGGGGGCGGGGGGTTGCGGGGTTCGCGGGGGGTGAATTGCGCCCCCGGCGGGCGGGCGGGGTCGGGGTCGGGGACGGGGACCGGGAGGGGGCTTTGTCCCTCCCCGCCCCGTAAACTGTGAAGTGCGCGGCCCCGGCCGAGCCGGTGCTTTCCAGCCGGGCCGGCGGAGCGCGGCGGCGGGGCGGCTGCAGACGTGGAGGAGCGGAGCGCCGAGGCTGGCGCCAGGCGGCCTCTTTTGTTTATCTGACAGCTAAATATCAAGGCAATCACCGCCTCGCGGCCCTCCTCCAACCCCCACAGCTAAGACAAACAGTTGGGCTGAAAGAATGCCTCTGTTATCGTAAGTTTCTATCTCTCTCTCTCATGGCTCGGCCTTTATTTTCTCTTACTTTTTTAATTCCAGAGTCTCCCCCTCCTCCTTACTCCAGATACCCGATGGATTTTCTCAAACCAACTGGTGAGTGGATGATTTTAAAAATATCCTTCCTATCTTAAGTTAGACGTGGAGCCTCTAGACCGCGGATCGTTCTGTCGAAGCAGCGGCTCTGGGGAGGCGCTGGGCTTGCCCCGAGGTGATTCTGGGCTTCCTCTGTTGGAAGTTTGGTGGATTTTTCTGTTTTTGTTGTGGCTGGGGGGTGTGTGTGTGTGTGTGTGTGTGTGTGCGCGCGCGCGCGCGTGTGTGAATGAATATCTCGGTTTTCTTTTTTGCAAAGGTGTTCCTTACGTTTTGTTCCTTTTTTCCTTTTTTTAATGTATTTTCACTCTCACCAGTGTTGGCTCAGCTTTAACACGTGGAATTTGATCCACGCAGAGTGTCTCCAGCGCCAAATAGGACAGGTTGCTGGGAAAATGCAGACCTTGTGAGTGCCAGAAGAGTCAGTGTGAAGAATGGATAATTTGAGGAGAGGGAAGACTGTTTCAAAGGGGCAGGGAAGGCTTCGGTTGAAAGTTAAGAGGTTAGAAAATCTGTAAGCAAGCCTTCCTACCTGGCCAGCAGACATGTTTTATCAGGGAAATGATTTTTCTGTTACTATGCCTCTGTGCCAGTAGGTTGGGACACTTTTCCACTCTAAAATAAAACAAAAACAAGTAAAGGTGACAGAAGCAGAGGACACCTGGAAGTCACTTCGTCTCTGGGTTTTCTCAGAATTCTTGAGACTACACAAGTTTTTAGCATAGCTCTGCCTGCCTGTTGCTTTGTCACTGGGTGGCGTGGGGCCAGAGCGGAAGCCCATTTGAGACTGGCACCAGCCCCATTGCGGTCGTCTGCTTTCAGCTGCTGGCTGGCTGGGCAGGGGCTCACCCTTGGGGCACACAGTGCCAGGGGGCAGCGGGGCAGCGAAAACTGGAGCTCGGGAGTGCCAACAGGGATGGGCCCCAGTGTCCTCAAGCCCCTTCTTGCACGGTGAGGGGGGAAGGGATTCACCCCCTGTGGGACTGTGTGTAACCTGGGGCTTCAGGCCCATGTCCTGGTACCTGAAAACTGCAACCCTTGTGACATTTTTGTTTTGCCAAGGTTCTGGGCGCAGGAGATGTGAAGGGTTGGGCCCCAGTTCTCTCTCGGAATTCCACAAGTCCTTCCGCCTCATGAGTTTTGACTGTTGGGCCTTTCCCCCCACTAATTAAAAGTTTTGCTGGGGCGTTGTCTTAAATTAAATACTTTAATGAACGGTGTAACCGAAGCCCGTGCTCTGCAGCCAGCCCTCCCGGGACTCCTCCGCTCCCTGAAGTCGGGAGGCGTTGCTGCCTGCCTGGTGCTGGGCTAACCACTGCCTGCAAAGCCCGTGATATTTTGCTTTCGATTTACAAAACACCAGATAAATGGTCATTAATGAGGAGATAACCGGCTCTGTGTATTTGTAACAAACATCACCACGACGCTCTGTTCTAGAACGGAGCTTGGCTGAGCTTTCGACATCGAGACCCAGTGTTCGTGAGGGTCGTCCTACAAGGGGCCATCTCTGCCCTGTTCTGGTTTTAACTTCTGCATCTTTCCCATCTGGAGGGGTTCCTTAAAGGAGAGAAAGACCATTCACCTTGGCCCCAGGAGTAAAGATTACTAGGGGTTGATAAATGCTTGTGGAAACCTGAAAGCATAGAAGGGAGGGTGTCATTGTCTTGGGTCTCCTGCAGGGACATGAGGATGAATCCGTTCATGGGATGCAGGCAGTCCTCCTGTCAGGCCAGGACCTCATTTTCTGTGAGTGGAGTGATAGATTTATTCATTAGCAAGTGTTGACATTAGGTAGCAAAATGTGTGTAAACAGAGAAGCCACAAAGACAGAAGTGTGCCATTTCCAAGGGGGAGAAAAGTTTTCAAGATCAGCCAATAGGAAGTGATTAGCCTGCCAGTCGGAAATTCAAACAGCTGGTTACTCACCCAAAAACGTTTTGTTTAAAACAAAACAAAACAAAAAGAATGAAAAAAGGAGCTGTTGTGTAGGGACAGGAGGTGGTAAGGGGCAAAACCACTCACTGCCCCCCCCCCCCCCCCCCCGCAAGAATTGTCTTCATACCCTGGCGGGCAGCCAGGTCTGGAAATGGTGGGGCTGGAGATAGGGCAGGTACCTGGGCCTTGAAGTCACACACACAGATGGGATGCTGCCCCAGGTTTTTGTCTTCACTTTGCACACGGGAGGAGAATACTTGGCTGGGGAATTGAGATCAGCTGCTTGCGTTCTTAAGCGTCTGAGCTCTAGGCTGGATTTTTGGTCTTGGGTGATTAGGTGAGAACCAGTTGAAGGTTTTACAATGGACAACTGTTAAAATCTTAGCCAGTCGCACAGCTAAGAGAATCCCTTCTGGGAAGTCTCCAGCTTGCCTGGTACCTCTGCGGCCTTTGGAGGAACTCCAGGGCTTAAAGCTGGGAGCTCCTATTTTGCTGTGGTTCAAGCCATCCTGGGGTAACTTCTAGACATGGGTGCCGGGTGGTCCCAAACCAGCAGGGTTTTCCTGGAAAGAGTTAGACATTAACTGAACCTAGGGGCAAGATGGCTGGGACTTGGGGCTATTTGAAGTCAAGAAGACTCCCTCCCTTCCCACAAGGGATAAGGACGTGCTGTTTCAGAGTAGTAGTTGGTGTATGGGCTGGGGCTGCTGAGGGGAGTGCTCTTTGGGCTCTGCTCCCTTTGTCCTCCGTATCATATCTGATGGTGCAGACGGCTTGACTGGTGGGCGGTGGGAGGGGGTCCTTGCTGGAGACACTTCTTGAGTAGGCTGGGGACCCAGGTGATCGGTACCCACTGGGTGGGTCAGGCCTCCAAAGCGTAGTTGGGAAGTCTGGGATCTAGCTCTGTTTTTACTTCTTAACACATGCCTTTTAACTTTTCTGAACCTCTTTAAATCTAGATGATCAAAGAGTGAAGAATTAAATGATTCATTCATTGGCTCATTAACTGGTTCATTCATTCATTCTACAGACCTGGTGATGTGCCTGTCTAAAAATGTGAATGATTCTGATGCCGTGGATTGTGCTGTCCCCAGGGTTCATGGGGCTTGTGGTTGGGGGTAGAGCTGGTACATTGAGGGTACAGCTGTGGTTGGCGGGGAGCGGGGTTGGAGCTCCTCTGGCTCTGGTGCCCCTTACAAAGCTCAGAACTAAGTTGACAGAACATCCAGGCTCTCCAGGAACCATTCTCTTGGTGAGAGAAGTTGGATCTCCAGCTCCCTCACCTTGTACCCCCTCTGAACAGCTTGTTCCTTGGCTGGTCCCCAGGTTTGTGTCTTTTAAGGACTGTCTTTTCCTCCTGGAGAACCCAGAACTTACTGAGTGCTTGGTAATGTTTAACGATGGAGGAGAGCCAGGAATGGTCTAGAACTTCTGTGTGTGTGTGCAGCCTGGGCTCTGGAGAGCGGTGACACAGGGTGGAGACCGAGACACTAACTTTGGAGGTCTGTCTTGCTGGAGCTTTTTAGTGGGTGAGGGATGGAGGTGTGTGGCCTCTTGGACCTTTACGAGCTGCGAGCACCTGGCTGTGTAGCTCGAGGTCAGGCTGGATGCTGGGATTGTCGACCCGACTACCCGCAGGCCTGACTACCTTCGGGGACCGGCGATGCCTGGGGAGGGAGAGCTGTGGGAAGGGCGAGATGAGCGCTGATCTCTTGGGCATGGCCCAGCTCACTGGGTGGCCCCTTGGACTGTCAGGGACGCCTCAGTTTACCTGGGTGCGGGTCGAACAGGTATACTTTGCTACTTCACAGGGGTGGTAGGGAGGCCTAATTAATGTTTGTAAATCCCTCCTGAGATCAAAGGCTCTGTAGAAGGGCAGAGCACCATTTCATAAAAACGCTTGTGGTTGTCGGTGCCGACCTGGCTTACCTTTGATCTGAGCCTGGCTGACACCCTGAATGTGGCCCCAGCTCTGCCCCGAGATGCTGGGCTCTTCCTTTGAAACACACTTGGCCCCTGGGACTCAGCCAGCCAAAGCTGAAGGAGGGCAGGGGGCCGTGGCCGTGGATCAGTCGTCATCTCTCACGGGGGTGGGGGAGGTGTGTCTTCCGCTTGTGGATAGGTAGGGCCTATCTCTAGAACATGGTGAAGGCCATCAAAGTAGTTTAGAAAGTGCAGGGTCTCCACCAGTTAACAAGCAGCTCCATTTCCTGCTCCCCCTATTGTTTTGCATTTGATTAAGTGTATCCTGTAAAACTGTATATTCCTGTTAGGAATTACACTTCACCCTGATAAAACGAGATTATACGCAGTCTTTTCTCTCTCCCCTGCCCACTGCTGCGGCGCCTGCGCTCCCCCTTCCCCTGGTGAGAATTTTTGAAAAGTTGTTCTTCCAGCCACAAAGAGAGAAACGCAGGAGCATGTGGGAAGGGAGGGTGCAGGGTCCTGGGATTAGTAGTTGGAAGGGCAGGTGGGAGAAGCCCAGAGGTGGTGGTTTTGGGGTCCTGTGTAAGCCCTGCTCAGCCCCCCACCTCTTTTTTGAGGGGGGAACAGGGACTGCTGATAAGCTTCTTGCCTCCGGGCTGCTCTTGACTTCGGCTTCTATTGGCCCATCTGGCCAAGTGGATCCAGTGGGAAGCTGGTTAGGACACACCCCGGGGACATGCTGCTGGTCACCTGGGGTGGTTGGGGGGCTGGAATTGTGTGCTTGGGTGACACCAGGAAGCCTCTTTCCTGAGCCAGCCTTTTCCTGGGGCTCTCTGGAAGTTTGGCATTGGCAGTGGTGTGTGACAGAGCTTACAGGGTCTTGTGTATCTTTGTTTCATGGCGTAATTAGTTGTGGTTCGGAGGCATTATTTTTTGGTTTAGCTGCTTGGAGGGAGACTGTCGAGTGTGTTTCTCAGGTAGAATTGTCATTAATGATCCTCGTGAACATTCGGGTCACTGTGCTGAGCACCCGAGGGTGACAGAGATGTTGAAGAGAAGCTTCTAGTCTAGCTAGGACAGGCGGGATCTGAAGGTAAACGATCAGCAAAGACGGCAGAAGGGAACTCCCAAGTGCTGGGTGCCGGAAAGATTTTATGGGAGCCGAGGACAGGGAAAGGGGAGACTTACAGACCTGGGGCTGCCCGGGAAGGACCAGCCCTGGAAGGAGGTAGAACATTTCCCCTCCAGCTGGGAGTCTTGAGATGTTCTCTGTCCTGATCTGGTGGTGGTGGCTTTACGCAGGCGTGTACACGAGTAGGATTCATGGGGTTCTGAGATGTGTACGCTTTCCCATACTAATACGTCAATTAAAAAGGGAAAAGCTGGGGTCTAGGTGGCTCAATTGGTTAAGTGTCTGCCTGTGGCTCGGGTCATGATCCCAGGGTTCTGGGATCGAGCCCCACATTGGACTCCCTGCTCAGTGAGGCGTGGGGCAGGGAGCCTGCTTTTCCATGTGGCCCTCGAATAAATAAGATTCAAAAAAAAAAGGACTTTCAGCCCAAGGGCAGTCTTGAAAAAGTCCTAAAGAACTGGGAAGTCTGTCTTTCACAAGATGAGGGAGAGACTGGTCTGTGGGAGTGGCGGAGAGGCCCCGGGATCTGAGCAAAGAGTTTTCACCCTTGATCGAACGATAGCTGGTAGGCAGACCGCAGTGGGGGTTGAGAACAGAACCCAGGCGTTCTTTGACCTTGGGAACTACCTGGTTTTCTCAATGGGGGATTTGCAATAAAAGAGAAATTTCCAGCCAGTCTGTGATGGAGCCTGACTTGACCAATGATTAACTGGCTGCCCGGAGCCCAGACGGGTGACAAGGTGCCGTGGGCAGTGAAGCCTGAGCAGTCCGTTAATAATCAGTGTCGCAGCAGGAGTCAGCTGCTTGGAATGTGTGGTTTCTCTTTAAAGCTGTTTAGAATGTGCTTAAAAATTCATCTTGGTGTTTTTATTTATTTGTGTATTTATTTATTTCTCTTTCATTCTCAAATCCACAGCGGACTGTCCAGATGCTGTGCCTTCCTCCGCTGAAACAGGGGGAACGAATTATCTGGCCCCTGGGGGGCTTTCAGGTGAGACATTTTCACTTATTTTTCCTGGCAGTTTCAAGACCTTGAAATGACTGGACGCCGGAGGAATGGGGTGGCCTGCTGTCCCCACGGGTCTGGGATTAATTCTCGCTTGTATGTACTTAAACTGGATGCATCCTTGTTGACTCCGGCCCTTGAGCTGGTCATCCTGTGGTCCCCTGTGCCTGCTCCGTGGATGAGGAAGTGAGGGCCAGCTGTGGCCTGGCGGGGTGCTGTTTCCTGGTTATTGTGAAAGAAGCTACTGGCTCAGGGGGGTTGGACTTGGCTGACTTGGATCTCATTAGTTGGTGGGTTTAAATCTTTTTCCAACTTGTCCTTAGTGTATTGAGCAGCTTGAAAGGGACGGATCCACCTTTCTGGAACTTGCAGAGATAATTCAAGTGTAGAGTGGGAATTCTGCATAGATGTCCTCCATGCCTCTGTGAAAGTTTCCGTTCCCGGTCTAGCTTAGTGCATATCTGTGCCTGGGAGACACAGGATGGAGGCCCTGCAGACTGTAGACCTCACAGGGCTTACCTGGGAGGGAAGCTTTTCCTCAGGATCCATGGGCTGCTGGAGGTCCTGGAATGCCAGTGCTGGAGGGTCACGGGATTGAGGGAGGGGCACTGGGGAGCCGAGCATCCTTGTCCTTGAGAGGCAGGAGAAGAGAGTCATAGACTTGGAGAAACTCATTAGCAGTGTAAGTGGGAAGCATTTTCCTCTTTTTCCGAAGACATCCGGTTTACACGTGATTTTCGCACCCCAGTATGGCATCACTGGGTTTTCTGAGAGCTCGCTAGAGCAAGAGGCAAAGTAGACTGGGGGTGGGGGTGGGGGTGGGGGTGGGGGAGAAATTCCACAGAGTTCCATGCATTTGTCGTTTCTTGCTTTGGGACATTGGTATAGGATCATGGCAGCTTGGATGGAAGCAGTAGAATTTATCTCCAGGGGGTACTGGTGTACCCCCTTCTGTGAGGTGACCTCTGGGAGTCAGGTGCTGCTTCCATGCCACGGTCATGCTCAGCTCATCCCGGCCAGACCCTCCTAGGCTCTCCCCGGGAATCGAGCTTGGAGGACGCCTTTAGGAAGACCCTTGTTTGTTTTTATTTCAGCGCAGTATATACTCTGACTGTTGTCTGGGACTGGAGGGTTTTGTTTACACAAAACTCCTAATGAGGAGTGAGCAGGAAGGAGAGGGGGACTCGGAGAGGGGGCGGGGCTGCAGGCAGGAGGACGGGGCTGGACCGCAGCCGTGAAGCGTGAAGCGGGGAACACTTGGAACTTGCAGGAACGTGTGAACTGCGTCTTCTCTGCTTTCTAAGACTGAGAAAGTTCCTGCAAGAAAGAAGGCCAGGAAGAGGAGAGAGGCTCTGGGCAAAAGAACACGCTCAGGATGTTGTTAGATGGGATTATTTTTTCGATCTTGAGCGTGTAGGGAGGATCCCCAGCCCCTTCGAACCACATGAAATAAGCAAGGGAAGTGGTAGCTTTTGAAAGGGGGGGCTTTTCGGAAGGGTTGTCTCATTGATAACATCTTGTCTGTCTCCTCTGCTGGGGGAAGTGACGACACCAGCCCAAGCTTCTCCTCCCTTGGCCCAAGAGCCAAATGACAGCACAGCATGCCCCAGGCAGCCCTGTCGGAGATGGGTGGGCGCTTGACTTCACGTTCCCAAAGCCCTCCCCAAACGGGGGAAGGGGTGTGTGGGTAAAACAGTGACTTAACTGCTGTCCCCATCCCTACCCCCTAAGGTAATTGCAACCATTTAGATCACTAAGCTGCTAGGGAGGAGTGGTTGTCTCTGAAGGGATCCAATGGTTTAACCAAACTGCAAAAGGAAAAAGACCAGGGGGCCCCCACATGAAAGAGCATTTGTTTTGAATTTTAGCTCTTAATTTACTAATTCCCAAGGCTTCAAAGTTTGAGCTCTTTCTTCTTTCCGTTCAGAGTTGCAGCAGTTTATTAATAATGTGCTGTGTGGGGAAATTGAAGAAACCTGATTTTTGGGTTGGTGCCCAGTGGTTTGGGGGTGGCAGGAGGGGAGGTGATGGGCACGGAGAAAGCCCGGAGCTATGCCCTTTGGAGCGAGAGTGCCTCCTAAAAGATGATTTAATGGCCGGGGTCCAGGGTGAGGGTTTTGCAGATGGAGGGAGCCCAAACGTCCTCCTTCCCAAGTTGATGTTTCCATCAGGGGAGGGGGGCGGCCTGGGTGTGTCCACCTTGGAGGATGAGGCTGGTGGGGGCTGTGGCGGCGGCGTGGCCTAATGGGGCAGGGCCCGTGGCCAAGTGGGACGAGGCTTCCCAAGGGAAGGGGTCAGCAGAGGCTGGAGGGTGGGAGCCTGCTTTGGGAAGCGGGGCAAGCGGCAGTCAAGGTGGGGAGCGGTGAAAGCGGCCACCAGGATCTGCCCCCTCCTCCCCCTTGAAATAACCTCTGTGAGTGTGTCTTTCACAGGCCCTGTGTGCTGTTTTCCTTCCTGTCCTGCCCTGGCTGAGAGCAGGCTTCATGAATGGGGCTCAGTTTAGGGTGGGAGGAAGGTCGGGAGCGGGAGCCAGAGCTTGATTCTCTTGGCAAGGGAAGAAGGGAAAGGAAAAACAGCCACATGTGAAAATGTGGTGCCTCAGAGGTTGGGGTGGGGGTGTGCTCAAAGGCATTCCCTCCTGAACTGCTGGGGTGACTCCGAGGCTGGCCCTTCCCTCTCCTGCGGGGAAGGGGAGTGGGTGGCTGGGAGCCCTGGGCGCAGGCCCGCTGCCTGCATTTGGAATCCAGCCTTGCAGCTTGGGTCTGGCCGGGGAGGCGATGGGCCCAGGCCTTCGGGACTTCGCAGTGAAACACGCCCCACCCCTGCAAGTTTCCTCAGTCTGGGAAAACGGCACATTTTTAGAAGGCTGGGACTTGGCTCCAGGAGATTGTACTTTCATTTCTGACAGCCGGCTCTCTGAGACAGATGGATTGCTGGGTGCATGGTTTTGCGTGTGTGCGTGTGCGTGTGGCAGACGTACAGATAGATGACTGTGCACCGGCGCATAAGCAGGCCGGGGTCCCCAGGCAGGCTGTGGGAGAGGCCTGGCTTCCTTCCTCTCACCTGGGGTAGGTGGATGGCAGAGCAGCTTTTCCACGAGGATATGCGCTTTGGGGGTGGGGGGGTTGTTTGTGGATTGGTTCTGGGCCCTGATTTGGCAGCCCCGAGTTCAGTTGTGTGTGTGGTGCCTTTTGAAAGGCATGGAACTTCAGAGTGGGCCTTTGCTGCTGGAGCAGGTCCTGGCCTGGTGAGGACCCGCCTGGGAAGGACCATCCTGGGAGAGGTCTGATGCAGAGGGGAAGCTTCTAGGTTTGGCCCGGTGGTGGAAGCGGGAGGATTTTGCTCCCAGAGCTTTGCCTGTATCACTGGTAATCAAAAGCATGTGCTAGAAGCTGCCATCTTTGCAGTCTTTCTGTCTGGAGTTCCCTGTGGGGTTTTCCCTTCAGCTCATCTGTCCTGTTCTGGGTGGGTTGGAGGAACACCGTCTCTCTCACCTGCAGGTTCTGGGCCATTCAGCTGTAGGACCCGTCCTCCGTCGTCCTCCCTGTACGTTCTCTTGTCTGGAGCTGGCCTTAGTTGGGGCTGGGATTGGAGGCTAGCAGTTTGTAGTTATATAAACTTTAGAGAGATGCCACCATGGAATTCAAGGAAGGAGGTGGAGGGCAATGCTGATGTGGTACTGATGTGTCTTGAGGGGTTGGGACTGCGGTTGAGGGAGCCCCAACTCCTGGCTGTTCAGAGTCATGCTTATTGGAGAGACATGGTCCCACCAGCCCAGGGGAGGGCCTTAAGAACAATGTATTAGGGGCGCCTGGGTGGCTCGGTGGGTTGGGCCGCTGCCTTCGGCTCAGGTCATGATCTCAGGGTCCTGGGATCGAGTCCCGCATTGGGCTCTCAGCTCAGCAGGGAGCCTGCTTCCCTCTCCCTCTCTCTCTGCCTGCTTGTGATCTCTGTCAAATAAATAAATAAAACCTTTGGGGAAAAAAAAAAGAACCATGTATTAAAAAACAAAACAAAACAAATACCATGTATGGCTTCTCGTTCCCACTTCTGGGTGATGGGAGTGTCCTTAGGTCAGTGGGCACTCCTGGAACTTCTCTCTTCCTTCTCTCTGATCCCTGCTGGCATCTGTGATCGCTACAGAGAAAGAAGTCTTCAAAATTAGCTGTATATAATCTGGAAATGTGCTCTGGCTCAGTCCATGGTCAACTTCGGTTCAAACCAAGTAACTTAGGAAAGATGATTCCATCTTGTTTCTAAGCAAAGTTCATCAGCTCCGTGGGAACAGTTATTTACTGTCCAGCTTGGAATGGTGATGGCACACTGGGGATCTGGACCTGGGTGCCTGTCTGTTTTTCATGTCCCCTTCCTCTGTCTGTTTTTCATGTCCCCTTCCTGCTGGGAACAAGCAGCTTGTGGTTTCACTGAGGTCTCTAATGCCAGGGGTGGTGGTGGAGAAGGAGGGCTGAGCTCATCCAAGCAGGCTTTTGGGGGAGTCAGCTGTACCAGCATATGGGACTGTGAGTGCGCTCCTTGCCTACTCACTCTTACCCCCAGGTCCAGACAGTCTGGAACTCTAGGGACCCAGCCCACAGCTCCCTAAATGCCAGTGTAATGAGTCGGGCCTGGACCAGCTCACCTGGTGCACACCCACTCCCCTGTGAAGACCAGTCCTGGACAGCAGCTCAGGCATCTGCAATGCTTGGGGCCATGCTCTCAGCCCTGGATGTGTGTTCATTCATGAAATCCCCTTTGTCAGGGAAAGAATGAGGTAGGCAGGCAGGGGTTAAGTGCAGGGAGAAAAGTTCTCTGGAGCAAATCTGAGCTGCTCTCCTGGCCAGAACTAGACGGGCTTCAGCCTCCTGCATTCTGTCACCAAGGCAGAACAGGGCCTCCTAACAAAGAAGGAGAGGGCCAGGTGAGGGCCAGTTTCCAGGGTCAGGTCCTGCTGTAGTCTAGCACATGAGATCTCACCGCCCTCCTTG